ATCGCTCGCCACCCATGTCCACTGTGGCCTTGACAATGAATCTGGCCCCAGGTGACCTGCTTTTCCGGGAGTGTGTCTCCTCGTTAAAGCTGCAGTGTTCTGCAGGGTCTCTGGGATCACTATTCATTACACTCCATGTAGGAGCAAACTGAGGGGCTTCATGGAGGGGTGATAGAAAGAACCTTCTTAAACTCGTTCTAGGATAGCCTCTTTCTAAGATGTTGATTTTTAAGTGCTTATCAGCTCTGAAATCTTTTGGTGTTGATGGTAGACAGTATTCCTGGGGTGAAATTTAACCAATTCTTGGCCTTTTTCTCGGACTGTTTTCTGTCTTAATTAAGGCTTCGGGCACTGGGCCCCATATCCCATGTCGAATGCCTAGAATCAAGGGCTGGCTCCATTTCCAATCCAGTTGTCTGTGGCCTAGGAGACAGCAGGTGGCGGCTCAAGTATTTGGGGCCCTTCCACCCATGTGGGAGACCTGGATGGAGCTCTGGCTCCTGGCTTGGGCCTGGCTCAGTTTGGTTATGGTGGGCATTTGGAAGGTGAACCAGCAAGTGGAAGATTGATATTCATCATCTCTTTTTTCCCTTTCAAAAAAAAACTTTGAAACATTATCAACTTGAGTACATTTGTACATAATCAATATTCCAAATTGTATGTGTGGGAGGCAGAGGTATTTTAACCTATAGGGTCTTCTTTGTACCGCCTTTATAGGGATTTAGCTCTAATGTTTTTAGAGATGTAAAATATTTTGCTTTCTTACAGCCTTGCTTAGTCTGAAACATTTTTATTCAATAAAGATTTTAATTTACATTTCAACTTTTCAGCGTGCTTTTTTCTTCTTTCCTTTTTTTTTTTTTTTTTACATTGTTGCAGTCTGTCAGCATCTAATTTTACATTAGCAGTTTGGGAAAACAAGTGGGGCAAAATGTATTCTTTTAGGTGGATGAGACCTGTAAATACAACGCACCACTAGGTGGTGCTGTTGCATTGGTCTTGGGCTGCTCTGGAAAAGCAGCTTGGCAAGAGAATTTTGTTACTAAAATGAGCTGTTTGGGGCCCGGCATGGTGGCCTAGCAGCTAAAGTCCTCGCCTTGAACGCACCCAGATCCCATATGGGCACTGGTTCTAATCCTGGAGGCCCTGCCTTCCATCCAACTCCCCGCCAGTGGCCTGGGAAAGCAGTTAAGAATTGCCCAACGCCCTGGGACCCTGCACCTGCAAGGGAGACCCAGAAGAAGCTCCTGGCTCCTGGCTTCGGATCAGCTCAGCTCCAGTCATTGCAGTCATTTGGGGAAGAGTCTCATTATATGGAAAATCTTCCTCTCTATCCCTCCTCCTCTCTGTATATCTGACCTTCCAATAAAAAAAATTAATGCACTATTTTTTATACCAATATAAAATCCAATGGTAGTTTTTAATCTTCATTATGCCCAGCATTTAATAATCTACTTTACAATGAAACTTAACAAAGAATTTTTGAATGTACTGAGACTGGGATGCTTTTGGGTAGAACCCTGCCTCTTAGGGTTTGTGCCTTTGTTTTTTTCTGGTTTTTATGTAATGGTAAGATGAAGTGTGGATTTCCCTGGAGGTGAGTGTGCCTTCTGAGTGGGTGGCATCGTATTATTGTCTCCTGCCCTTGCCCCAAGCTGGAGTCCTTTAGACGCCTTCTTCGTGACCCAGTGTGGAAGGCCCTAGCAGCATACGCAGTCGGCTTAGTGCATCATATGCGACAGTAGGATAAAGTGAGTTTCTGCACTGGTGAGACAGGAAAAGGGGCCATCTTAGAACTTGGCGCCAGGAGGCTGCCGACGAGCCTGCCAGGCCAGTCCGCTTCAGCAGCATGCTTGGGTCGCTCTTGGTCCAAGTGAAAGCTACACCAATGGCTTTCATCCTGTGTTTCAAAGCAGTATGTCTTCCGAGAGCCAAAGAGAAGTGACACAGGTACATTTCTCTGAGGGTAAAATTACTCATTGGTATTCAAACCAAGGTCGCTGTGCACCACGGGTGCCTGCATGCCAGGTTAGGGCATTCTGTTCTCAGGACTCCGACTGAAGTCCCGAACCCGGAGCAGTGTAGCTGGGCTTACACTGTGTCTTGACGGCAGACAGGGCAGTTACCGTTATGGCAGCAGCTCTGAGTTTATTAGAAGTGAGAAATGGAAACTCACGGGGTCTACCCCCGAATCTCCTGAAATCAGAATCCCTGGTGGGCCCCAGAAGACTTCAACTGCGTGGGATGGGAGCTGAGCTTTTAGTCCACTCGCGGGCACGGGCTGCTTTTTTGTCCTTCTCAAGCTCTTAAAATGGCATATGCATGCCTTGTTGTAAAGTTGTCTGTTCTTCAACACGAAGTATCGATTTCATCATTCATCTTTTTTTTTTTTCTGTTAGATCATTCTAGATAAAGCCTGGTAATTAACCCTGAAGCCGGGTTAGCTCAGTCGGGCACCCCACTAAGGCTTCCCTCCTTGTCAAAGCAGATTCACAAAAGAGAAGAACCCAAAGTTAAGACAGTTTGTCGGACGAGAGCTCCAGTCTGAAGACATTGTTTACGTCTCATCTGCGTAACCTTGGGCAGCCTGTTTGGTCTCTTTGGACTTCAGTTTATTAGTTTATTTCTCTATAAATGAGTGGGAATGATACCACCCCTTTGACAGGGAAAAGGGGTAAAATAATTTGCGTGCAGCTCCTGGCACATAGTAAATGTCATCAAACGTTGGCCACCATCTATTTCTCCTTCAGTCTCTCTTCTGAATGATGTCCATTTCCACGTTACTTTCCTTCCCTTATCCGGTGAGAATACATTTAAGATTTATTTTTTTTATTATTATTTTTTTTTTATTGGAAAGGCAGATATACAGAGAGGAGAGACAGAGAGGAAGGTCTTCCGTCCGATGATTCACTCCCCAAGTGAGCGCAACGGGCCGATACTCTGCCGATCCGAAGCCAGGAGCCTCTTCCGGGTCTCCCACACGGGTGCAGGGTCCCAAAGCTTTGGGCCATCCTCAACTGCTTTCCCAGGCCACAGGCAGGGAGCTGGAAGGGAAGCGGGGCTGCCGGGATTAGAACCGGCGCCCATATGGGATCCCGGGCGTGCAAGGCGAGGACCTTTAACCACTTGCGCCACCGTGCCGGGCCCGAGAATACATTTAAAATAAAGAATTCATTCGAAATAAAAATCCAAAGCCCATTTTTCTTCCCTGAAGAAAAGTTCCTAAATTTTTAAGGGATGAAGCCAGAGCTGGGAAGGGCTGGAGCTCCTGCAGTTACGGAGGGAGGAAAAGATGGCGAGCAGAAGGAACTGCGCGGAGCTGAGCGAGGCTGAGGCGGACACTGCTGAGGAGTCGGCCTTCCGCGCTCGGGGAGGCCGGCCTGAGGAGCCGGTGTGGCCCGGACCGAGCACTGAGGAGCCCGGGGACCGAGCACTGAGCCCGGGGACCGAGTACTGAGCCCGAGGACCGAGCACTGAGCACGGGGACCGAGCACTGAGCCCCGGGACCGAGCACTGAGGAGCCGGTGCGGCCCGGACCAAGCACTGAACTCGGTGACCGAGCACTGAGCCCGGGGACCGAGTACTGAGCACGGGGACCGAGCACTGAGGAGCCGGTGCGGCCCGGACCGAGCACTGAGCCCGGGGACTGAGCACTGAGCACGGGGACCGAGTACTGAGCCCAGGGACCGAGCACTGAGGAGCCGGTGCGGCGGACTGAGTACTGAGCCCGGGGACCGAGCACTGAGGAGCCGGTGCGGCCCGGACTGAGCACTGAGCCCGGGGACCGAGCACTGAGCACGGGGACCGAGTACTGAGCCGGGGGACCGAGCACTGAGCACGGGGACCGAGCACTGAGCACGGGGACCGAGCACTGAGCCCAGGGACCGAGCACTGAGCCCGGGGACCGAGCACTGAGCCCAGGGACCGAGCACTGAGGAGCCGGTGCGGCGGACTGAGTACTGAGCCCGGGGACCAAGCACTGAGCCGGGGACCAAGCACTGAGCCCGGGGACCGAGCACTGAGGAGCCGGTGTGGCCCCGACCGAGCACTGAGGAGCACGGGGACCGAGCACTGAGGAGCCCGGGGATCGAGCACTGAGCCCGGGGACCGAGCACTGAGCACGGGGACTGAGCACTGAGCCCGGGGTCCGAGCACTGAGCCCGAGGACCGAGCACTGAGCCCGGGGATCGCGCACTGAGCCCGGGGATCGAGCACTGAGCCGGGCGGCCAGACTGAGTACTGAGCACGGGGACCGAGCACTGAGGAGCTCCAGCCCGAAGGCCGGAGGCGAGGGGCGTTGCCGTGCCTGGAAGAAGCGAGCGATGAAGAAGCGTGGTCCCGGCAAAAAGGGGCGGGGCCGGGAGGGGTGGGACCATGGCGGGACGGGGGCGGGGCGGAGCTGGGTGGGCGGGACCCGGAAGGGGTGTGCCCAGGTGATAGGACCATGGTAAATGGGGACTCGGCCACAGTGGGCGGAGCCATAAGGGGGCGTGGCCAGGTGGATGGGCTGTGGAGGGTGGGGCCATGGTGGGGCGGGGCGAGGGCGCGGCTGCGGTGGGCGGGGCCAGGGTGGGGGTCACGGCGGGGCGGGGATGATGCAGGGGCAGCCGCTGGGTGGGTGGGGTTCTTGCAGGGGCGGGGCGCGGGCTGGGTGGGCGGGGCCCCACGGTCTGCGTGCCGAGTCTCGGGCCCATTAGAGCGCGTGATGGGTGGGGCCATGGGGCGGGGCGCGGCTCGGTGGGCGGGACTGCAGGGCCTCCGTGTCTCCGAGCCCGGTGCCCAGGAGGGGGCGTGGCCGGGCCCAGGAGGGGGCGTGGCCGGGCCCGCAGGCCCAGCCGCCTGGGGGAGGCGAGCGGGAAATGGCCGGTGAGGGAGGTGGGCGGGGAGGCGGGATGGGCGGTGCGGCGGCCCGGCCTCTCGGAGCGGGAGGGCTGAAGGATGGCCGGGACCGAAGGGGCCGGAAGGGGGTGGCCGTAGGCCCGACCCCGCCCCGGGGCTGCCTCCCCGCGGGTTCCGTTGGCTGTGGCGGCGGCTGAGGGCTGTGGCGGCGGTGGCCGCGGGGCGGGCGTAAGATGGCGACTGCGGCGGCGGGAGCCCTGGGCCTGCTGTGGGGCTGGCTGTGGAACGAGCGCTTTTGGCTGCCCCAGAACGTGAGCTGGGCCGACCTGGAGGGGCCGGGCGACGGCTACCCGCGTGCCCGGCACATCCTCTCGGTGTTCCCGCTGGCGGCGGGCGTCTTCTCCGTGAGGCTGCTGTTCGAACGGTGAGAAGCCCGCGAGCTAGCGGCGGCCCGCGGACGCGGCGAGCCGGGGCGGCGGGAGAGCCCGAGGGCCGGAAGCAGGAGCGGAGGGGGAGCCCGGAAGCCGGAGTGGGAGTCAGAGCCGCGGTCCTGGGGAGCCCTGCATCCCGGAGCTCGCCTCTCGGGGGTCTCTACAGCAGGTGGAGGGCGCGCGCTCCGCAGAGACCCCCCCCCCTCCAAACGAGGAAACGGGAAGTGCAGCCCTGGCACCCCAAGGGGGTCTCCCGGCAGAAGCAATGGGGTCGGTGTGCCGGGGAGCTCCAGTCTTCTGGGTTGGGAGAAGACCACCGGTTAGGCCCCTGCGCCTTGCCGTGTGTCTCGGCTCGAGGGCGTTTATCTGTAGGGCAGTAGAAATCTGGTTGCAATGTAGGGTGTGGTGGAGCCTAAGGCCTCCAAAGCAGGGGAAACTCAAGATTGGCTACTGAACGGCCCTGGAGCCCCCAGTGGCCGGAGAAGTCGCCTGGAAGGGCTGGCCAGCGGCAGGGGTCATTGTCAGAGTTGAGCGGAAGCCCTCTTGGAAGGGAGTTGAGCAGACTCGCTGCCCACTTTGCCCAGCCATGTGCTTTGGGGGAAAATGACTTCACCCTTCTTCGTGTGAGCGGACCATTCGCTGAGGGCTTGATGCGATGATTTTATACAAAGTAGACCGTGCAGGCTTTCGACCCCGTCGACTCAGACTCCTTCAGCACGGGGCTCGGGGGATGGGGGTGGCACCGTTGACGGCTTGTGCTCGGTTTGCCATTATCCGGAGCGCTTGTGTCTGTAATGCAGGAGGGAGCACATTGCAGGCAAAATAACGTTACTCCCGGAAAAGGTAATACCTGTTGTAGATTGCTTTCGTAATGTATCTAGTCATTCATCCATTTACTCATAGTATCTGTGTTGTCATCAGGCTGTTGTAGCAGATAGGAGTTTAAGTGCAAAAGTCTTTTTGTTGTTGTTGTTGTTTGTTTGTTTAGTTAAAGCACATGTAACCCAAAGATCTGTTTCTGTGTCCCCAGGAACTTAGTATTATGTGAGTGGGGTGCTTTTGTTTTCTAAGTATAACCGTAGTGTTAAGCATTCCTGGGTGAAGGCACAAACCACTTTTCTTTCAGATTAGAAATACATTTTACCCAAGTAGTCTATGACTTGGCATCTGTGTATGAAGGTTGAAAAAAGAGAAAGGCAAATTAAACGACTTAAACAGAAAATACAAGATTGGAGACCAAAAAAAGAAAGTTCATTGTAAGAACAGCCTGTACTTTTCATACAAATACATGTGTCGATGCTAAGAGGAAATAGCTGGTTGCTCTTTCGATACTAATTTAATACAAATTCTTATCATTGGATTCCAGAGGGTTCCATCAGGTGACTGAAGAGATGTATCTACTTGCTGTCAGAGTGCTGGAGAGGATCTTTTACCTGTGGGAATTCTATCTGGATGTTTCTATGGTACTCAGTGTCAGGGGAGCGCAGGACAGATAGCACTACGGCGCTGAGAGCATTCTAGAATGGTAGTCCGTGGCCAGTAACAAGGACATCTTGTTTGTTACATGTGTGCTTGTAGAAAGATTTTAACCCTAGAGTGTTGATATTTTTGTTTACTCTGCTACTTCAATAAGTAATTAGAATTGACTGCCGGGTTGCCAGTTCCTTTCCGTCCAGTCTTCTCTATAAAGGGAATACAAGCCACCCTTAGAGAACAATAAAGGACCTAACAGAAGGAACATGCAGGGACAGTTAGGTTTTCCTGCAGCCTCTCGTTTCTTAAACCCCATTTTCACACAGAGAAACAGAGAGAGAGAAAGATACTTTCCTCTTCTGATTCACTCCCCCAAATGGCTGTAACATCTAGAGCTAAGCTAGTCCAAAGCCGGGAGCTGCCTCGGAGCCTCCCATCCTGGGTGCAGGGGCCATGGACTGGGGCAGTCCTCAGCTCTCCCAGGCCGGAAGCAGGGACTGGATGAGAAGCGGAGCGGCCAGGGCCAGAGCCGAGTACTCTCCGCAGGTGGATGCTCACCCCTGGGAAGGAGCCAGAGGTGGAGGCCAGGTAATTTTCCCCAGCTCAATGCTCTTTCCACTGTATAATCATGGCCATCTTTTCCTGAACCCTAATTCACCTTTCAACTGTTAATATTTAACCTCCTGTCTCTCATATTCCAGGATTTGGAAAACAAATCATGTTGATCCTATTCTTCATTATTTAATAAGATGCATTTGACTTGAATTTGGGGAGGGGTTCAAATTATTATATATATTTTAAAGATTGATTAATCTGGGCCCGGCAGCGTGGCCTAGTGGCTAAAAGTCCTCGCCATGAACGCGCCGGGATCCCATATTGGCGCCGGTTCTAATCCCGGCAGCTCCACTTCCCATCCAGCTGCCTGTTTGTGACCTGGGAAAGCAGTCGAGGACAGCCCAAAGCCTTGGGACCCTGCACCCGCGTGGGAGACCAGGAGGAAGTTCCTGGATCCTGGCTTCGGATCGGCATAACATCGGCCGTTGTGCTCACTTGGGGAGTGAATCATCGGATGGAAGATCTTCCCCTTTGTCTCTTCTCCTCTTTGTATATCTGACTTTCCAAAAAGTAAATAAATCTTTTTTTTTTTTTTTCAAAAAAAAAGATTGATTAATCTGCTTGAAGACTGAGTTACAGAGAGATGGAGAGACAGACCTGTCTGCTGGTTCACTCCCCAGATTGCCACAATATCTGGAGCTCTGCCAGTCTGAAGCTAGGAGCCAGGAGCTTCTTCCACATTTCCCACAGGAGTTGCAGGGGACCCAGTACCTGGATCACCCTCCACTGCTTTCCCAGGGACATTAACAGAGAGCAGCCAGGACAAAAACTGGCCCCCATATGGGGTGTCAGTGCTGACCACCACACTGACGCTTGTACATTGAATGAGGTTTTCCACTATTTCTTTTTTAAAGATTTACTTATTTTTCTTGGAAATGCAGATTTGCAAGGAGCAGGAGGTACAGAAAGAAAGATCTTCCATCACTGCTTCACTGCCCAAGTGGCCTTGAGCCCGGGCCAAGCCTGTCTGAAACCTGGAACCAAACGCTGCTTCTGGGTCTCCCACACTGGTGCAGGGTCCCAAGGCCTTGGCCGTCCTCGACTGCTGTCCCAGGCCACAGTCAGGGAGCTGGATGGGAAGTGGAGCAGCTGGGATTAGAACCAGCGCCCATATGGGATTCCAGTGCATGCAAGGCAAGGACTTCAGCCTCTAGGCTACCACAGCAGGCCCTCGCTTCTTCTTTATTGATGGTTTCTATTGTGTTTTCAGTTATCTCCCAGAGAGTAAATACTCCCTATAGAGTTTGCAATTATTTCTTGCTTTGTCTCCTTCTCATTAACAACCATTTGAATTTCTACATATTTTGGAGAACTTCAGCTATATCTGACTACACATAGAATGTTTGTATCTAGCTCTGGTTTTATTCGGGAGCTACAGAGGTCAGTCATTCCAAACACACAACACAGGCCCTCCTTTGTGGGCTGCTGTTGCCAGGCTGCCCTCAGCGTGCAGCACCTGGCGCAAGGCCTCCTCAGCTGCAGCATATGGCCAGCAGGCACTTAGTGAATGAGACGGGTTCAGTCATCTGAGACCCGAGGAGTCGCCTGGAATCTAGATCGTTGACCTGAAACAGGCATTCGGCTTAATTAAGAGGTGAAATTATAAATCTTTGTCTCTGTTGTTAAATTTCACTTGCAAGCGCTACATTTGCAAGTTGAACACTTGCACATCTTTCTCTTCAGATACATTCTCACACTGCCACCCCCATGCACGCCGTCACAGGAGAGATAAGAAACCCTTCAATTTGTTTCCTTTAATATTATGTTGCTGATGGAAATGTGAGGGAGAGAACAGTCCGGGCCAACTCTACCAGACCTGCTCAACTGAATTTTAAAGGTGATATGTTTAAAGCGTAATATCTAGTTCCTTGAATTTGTTTTCTGGAATCAACAAGGAGTTTGCTAATAAGGATGCCATCAGACCTGGGTGGGCTCATTGATTTGGAATAAGCTATTGCAATGGGAGCGTTTTACTGCCAGAATAAAATCATTTGGGGACTGATAGAGGGATGAGCAGTGTGTTGGGCTCTTACTACCTAGGCGACCTTGCTGGGGTGTGTGGAAGGACCATCTCCACTCCGTTTCACTCGGAACTGAACGTGCTCACTGCGTGCCTGACAGCAGGCCTGGTGTGTGTTCATTAATGACTCTTTTCATCTTGAACTTATAAGCCTCACAACCTCAGCTGCAAATTGCCTTTTTTTTTTTTCTTGTCCTCCCCACTTCTGCTTTCTAAGTGGGGAAGAGCTTTTTCTCTCTTCCTGACAGGCCCGCTACCCTCCTCCCAGATTTGTCGTATCACAGCGTTGCGGTCCAGTATTTGTAAGTCCTCCACGCAGAGGAGAAAGGCTTTAAGGAAAAGTGGCCATGGCTGCTGACTGGGTTGTAAGGGAGACACCCCATTCCACTGCATCCCTGAAGGTGTTCTGTTGGCATTATTGCGTTGTCACTGCAGAATTATATCAGGCTTGCAGGTCCAGCAAAGCAACATTCGACAAGATGGCCACGTGGCCCTTCCAGAGTTCCAGCTGGCTGGAAGCTTGCTGTGTCGTCCCTCCTCTCTGGGAAAGCTTTGCCAGCCCTTCCTGCACAGTGGGTGTTGATCTCCTGGGACAACTCTGGAATATTGTCGTTAGGATTAGGTTCCTGCCTGATCCCTGGAGACAGTGTATTTGTTGCTGCAGAGAAGCCTGTCAGATGCAGCTCCTGACTTAGAAGACTCCGCTCTCCCGATTAGTAGACAGTCAAGGGAGGGAGCGAGTAAATCTGTACCTGACTTACGGAAAAGGAACATGGAGATCCACCTATTTTGTCTTCCTCTGTGAGGTATTTTAAGCAAATAGAAGCTGAGTTTTGGTCTGTTTGTATTATGTTCACTTTTATTTTATCTTTAGGGAAGATAATG